GAATCAGACGAAATATCCCAGTCGTCTGCGTCTCATCATACTTCCATCCAACCATGTTATGTGTGCACTTACTGCATCTTACTGCGTCTCCGAAATGTGATCCCACCTTCACGTCCCACACTCGCACAGTGTTTTCCAGGATGTACATACTGCAAGTATTCTGTTCGCACTTTTCGCAACCATAACCACTCTTTCCGCGCTTCCAGAAAATAAACGAACGACCTGTAGCCCCGTCATTATGTCCTTCACTCCAAAACTGGCATCAAATGGTCAGTAAACTACATGTATTCAGTGCGCACTTATGGCAACAGTACGCACCCGATTCATGTGTCCAGAGGGTGCGGTCTTTTCATGCGCTTCCATTTCTATGTCTCAGACCTGCGCATTCTAGTTCCAAGATCAAGACACCCCATCCCGTCCGTCGCCATTTGTCTGCGAGGTATCCAACTTTTCGGTGTTTCCAATTGATACGTCGCCACCTTGTGCTCCCTTCTCTATATCTTTCACTGGCAAGTTACATATATTCGATCCTCGCTTCAAAACCCTTCACCCCACACACATCCCCCGAATACGCACAACGTTTGCGTATCCAAAGAGTGTAGAACTAACTTGCGATCTTTCGGTCCGTGGCAACCCCGCCCGATTTTGTAAGACAATTCTGGATGGCACATGTCTTTCTTCTGCACTCATCCCGACGCAACCGCCCTCGTTCCATGCGTCTCGTTAATGTGTCCCTGTTTTCCGGTCCCAATACAAATCCAACGCCTACACGGACTTGCCCCAGCATCCAGAAGCCACTCATCATTCGTCCGAATTCATCTGAACTCTGAGAAAATCTGTCGTATGTCCAGGTGAAGCGTTCTCGATGAGTGTCCCTGTTTGCACGTCAAACACTCACACGCCTATTTCTCCAGATACCACTCGCTGCCCTTCGCTCTGGAGCCCCGCACTCGACAACCTGAGTCCTTCTTTCACTTCATCGTTTAGTCCTCACACAATCCTGTCTGTGCCACGCAATTCTTTCCCCCACTCACGTAAACGTCTCCCTTCTCCGCTTCTATACGCCCTTACGCCCCACCACCTCTCACCGCTTCGAATCCTCACCACTTCGAATCCCCACCACTTCTTTCCTCACTTTACCTCTCTCACCGCCTCCCTCATTGTACCTCTCTTACCACCTCACTGGATTTAACTCTCGCCCTAGCACTCCTGTGCTGTTCCCGCTGTGCCTCAAATCCCTCCCAGCCCCCTTCCGCACTTGCACGTTATGCTGCACCGCTTGCTGCACCGCCTGTCTAAATCGAATCACCGGCCCTGCGTTTTTCTGCACTACTCGCTAACCCTCTCCGTCCCTCACAATCCCTGCGCACGGCTACGATCTCTTCTTTTTCGACCAGATCCGTCTTGCACTGCACGATATGACCACCTACCTGATGCACTGCATTCTGTCGCCTTGACGTCCTCCATTAAGCACGCCGCCCTCGATAAGGCCATCGACGGGGCGCGCGATCAGCGCGTCGTTGCAGCCAACGTCTTCTAGAGGCAGAGTTCTGCCTGAGCGTCGCCCATTCTCTGCACTCCTGCCGCCGCCATGGTGGTCGCCGTTTCTGAACATATACAGAATATTTTGAATTTCTCGCGCGGTGGGGAATGGTTGAAACATTGCTGAAATGTGGGACCTCGCTCTTTGAGGACTAAGGGCTCTGATTGGCTGAAAAAGGTGGGACCGATAAATCGGAGCCATCCATTCTCCTACATGATTTACTCGTAGAATATGACCGCCCCAATAAACGGACAGCTATTGATGGAGGAGACTGGTAGTGTAATGCGAGGGTGCACGTCTCCAGAATGTTTCTGAGTTTCGCAGAAAAAGTTGCTCAAACTTTCGGCAGCACTTTGGGAACCTTTGAAACTTCAGAAACATTCATCAACCTTTTCAAAGATGCCGGATCGCATTACAGCTCCGATCCTGGGTGGATGGAAATATTCCATCATTGAGGCCTTGCTTGCAGGATCCAACGAGGTCCACCACCGGGACCAATGGGAGTGCCGTTTGAGGCGAATATCAGAAAAATCAATTGTCAACCAGGATTTTACGGAGCCATGAGCCCTGGTAGTTGGGACCAAAGTTGTATGGCTCTGGGTCACAGGCTCTGGTCCCAGGGCCATTATTGGGACGTATTCTCCTGAATGCGACTCTGTGAGGAAGATCCGCTCCGCTTCCCGTGATATCGTAGAGTGCAAGGATCTGTGACGTGTGCGAAGATTCTGCAGTGAACTCGCATCTGACCGCAAGAAACTACTACTTGTAGTGTCCAGACGACAAGCGATTTGCCTCATGTGAGGTCAAGGGAGGCCAGATGTTGTTCTGCAAAAATACAGTACAGTGTACCCTTCTTTTTCGAAAAGTACATGCCTTCGGCAAGAACTTTTCGCAAAACATTGGGATAGCAGTTGAGAATACATAGAAAGATTAAGAATCCAATGAAGTTTCAATACCCGGTTATCATTTTGTTTGAACAGGGGTTTTGGTTTCGAAGATATAAACGCATAACGTTTTGAGGTTGGCCAAAAAGGCTTCTTTTTAGGTATTCGAGAAATGGCTGGAAAAGATGTGCAGATCTCACCAAACTCCATCCTTCCGCGTCGCAGAAATCAACTGCAGTGGGGAGAGTATCTTTCTCCTTCTTATTGAGCGGGCATAAGTCGAGAATAACAAGTTGAAAAGTAGCCTCATATGAGGTCACTTGTCGCCTAGGCGCAGCCCACATCCGCTCAGGGTGAGACAGGGCGTTACCAGGCCGGTCATAGTTGGAATACTCACAGCGGTACGAGGCAGGCATTCAGCAACGAGTGTAAGCATGACAAGATCTCTGTTTGTGTCAATGCTGAGGACGTTGTATCCTAGTACGGTACAGTTTTGGAGACGCTTTAGCAGAGGGCTACTGGGGATGCCGGGATGTTAGCCTCTGTGAGCTTTCGTTCTGTGCCGTCGCGTCGCCTCCCGCGGTCGGAAGAAGTACAAAGCAAGAGTAGAACTCTATTGCGCTCCACCTCTCGGCGGTTGGCTAAGGTTCCGGCGATGGCGGTCCCTGCAGAAGCAGAGCCTAATTGATGTGACGCTGGAACTGGCGGTGTTGGACAAGACTAGCGACCACTACAGTGCGTGGTCCCGTTTCTATGTAGCTGATCCCAGGATCTACACGGGTGAGCGCGATCCAGTAGCCCTACATGTAGTCAACTGACTATTCCTCTGTTGCCTTACTGTAGCTGAGGTGTGGATCGGCAGTTTCTACGGTATCTTCTGGGGTTTTGCGGTTGCGTCATGGCACCTCATGGATTTAGGGCCTTATCGCCTGGGGACATTACTCAAAGAAATGAACATGTCTGGAGGTGCTGTATCTAAAGGAGAGGCACAAAGAGGGATGGTCAACAATCCATGCGATGCGCAGGTATACTGCTGTACTGGTGCAAAGTGCTTCTCCGCGCACAAGCGCACCGGAAGAGCGAGGTGCGCCAAGGTGCTGGATGGATGCGATGGCAAGAATGGCGGGAAAAGTGATTGACGTGACAAAAGGTGAGGCGTGTGGAACGTCTGGTACTGTACCCTCGGAACTGTACCCGCATATACGCCATATACGTCGCCTTTACAGTATCGGATGTAGTGCTGGGGCTGTCGTCTACGTGTAGCGAGCGCAGATGAGGCACGGTAAATTTACCTCAGGGGTACAGTAGTTGATGCGAGTTGGGCAGATCGGATGTCGAAGAAATACAAGTGGGCACGTGTACAAGGTTTTGTTCGATGACAGGCATCGGTCCTCACAGCACAGCAGGGGCACGCGAAAACACCCAAAAGGGGAGCCTCGTTGCCGCAGTGCTGTCGCATGCGGTGTTTTCGGGCTAGTGCGGAGTACAAATGTTTTGGTTGTTTCTGGGCTGGCAGGAGGGGCGGCGAAGCGTGACGCAATGTATGAGAGAAGGGGCGGAGAAAGTAGGTTCGGCGTGACAGGTACAGTAGTGGCACAGCAACAAGTCAAAGACGCGGGAATGGAGTTTGGATTAGGGAAAGGGAAAGGCAACACTCCTCTACGAGGCAACCATTGGCTGTCGAAGAGGGATGTCGAGGTCGCTGTAATGCAAAACTCGGAAAGCAAACATGGTAGACGCCTTATGTCGTATCACGTGGCGATGCATTGCGCCTGCGGCATATTCCAGTGCCGTAATTGGCGACTCGGAACATGAAGCTCTGTAGAGTACGCACACTTCGTAACCGTTTACACTACCCTTCGAGTGGTAATGTTACCTTGGTATTGTACAATACAGTAGTTGCACGTTTGGTCGATTTCAAGTTCAAAGAAAGATATGATGGCGGGACTTGTGACCTGGAAGCCTGGGAGGCGGCGAGGCCACATTGGAAATCAAACCTTGCCCTAAAAGGAGGTGGGGTGCAGGGCACCTTTCACAATTTACAGAGCCCTACCCGTCAGAGGATGTGCATCCGAATAGACTCGTGCTGAGGGAGATTGGGGCAATGAATGTTCAAGGTGTGTGTGCTCAATTACCACCCTGTGGGCACGAAGGGATAGCGCGGACTGAATCAGAGGGCTGGGTGTAGGCGGCCATCTGAATCGATGCGATATTGGAAAAACCCACTCCTGTACACTTCAGCAGTAGTGATGTGCGAGGACGTTTGACAGGCAGCGAGGCGGATCGGCAACAGGAGCCGGAGCGGCAAGCGTTGGCGGGGTGACCGCCCCGGGGGTCAGGAACCAGGGCCAGGGCATTTTGGCGGGATGCAGGCCACGTTGAGGCCCAATGGGACAAAAGGGCGCCGCCTTGCTGCCGTTTAGCCGCGGTGGTCTGCAAGTGTGACGACCCACTGCATTCTTCTCGCGTGGCGCTTCGCCGATTGAATTTTTGAAACGCCGCACCGGACCCGTCACGCGGTTTACACCAGTCCGGAGTGAACCGAAATCGCCCTCGCACGCGCGTTTCGCCACATGCCCACTAGAAATTACCCTCCCCCACCTTCTGCACCCACCTGCAACGCCATCCTCGCTGGGCCACAACGCAGCCCCGCCCTCGTCCGTCGCGCACGCCCCTTTCCTACACCACTTTTTCGCTTCGCTTCAAACAAGCACACAGTGTCCCCTCCCCGCCCGTATTCCTTCCAGCCCGTTGCAGTCCCTCTTTGCATAGTGCCTTCCCCTTTCTTCCTACCCCTCCCTTTCCCCCTCACCCCCCTTTTAACTTGTCCACGCCCTCACTTCCCCCGCGCGCAGGAATGGGTCTGCTCCCCCGTCTGCTCGCGGTCATCGGCCCATTGCTGCTTCTCTTCTTGTTCGCCATCGCGGATGCCGCCCGTCTCCCCTTCATCCACGTCCTCTCGCGTCAAACGAGTGTCCCTCGTGTGCCACCCAGTTTCAACCTCAATTCCGGTGGTCCTGATGTCGGCCGCTTCGTCGAAGACCTCCCATGGGTTTTGGGCGAAACCGCTGCGTCCGATATTCCCGACGCCTCCATCGGCGGTGCGGATGAAATCAACCTCCCCATGTACAACTCGCATCGCTTTGGTGTTGATGGCTCCACATGGGGTTATGACATTCCCGTCCGCAGGCCCGGTGTCTACGGCTGCACCGTCCATTTCGCGGAGACGGACTTCGCATCGTTCGAAGCTGGCGCGAGGGTCTTTGATATCCTTTTCTCTACGGCCAGCGGCAACCCAGTTCGCTTCAACAAGATAGACATTGTCGGGGAGCTCGGCGGTGCCGAATTCACTGTCCTTACGAAAACCGCCGAGCGTCTTGTCATCCCGGGCATCCTCTCCGTTCGTGCCATCCCGCGCAAAGGCGATGCCATCATATCTGGCCTTACATGCGAGCGCACCGGCGATTTGCCAGGCGGAGTGGCTCGAGATTTTGATACCAAACCTCCTATCCCGCTCAATGCCGTCGTCACTATTCCCATCGACCCGACCGCCGAAGCTGACCCTGTCATGCAAGAGGGCGTCATTGACGTCAACGCTGGTGGGGAAGCCGTTGGTCGCTTCCAGGCGGAAGACGACAGTTGGATCTTCGGCCCCACTTCGTTTTGGGATGGCCCTCCGGGAGTCGTCATCGGGGGAGCTGAGGAACGCAATGCCCCAGCCCTTATTTCTCAACGGTACGGTCTTGACGGTGCCGTGTGGGGTTACAGAATCCCTGTCGAGAAACCGGGCATTTATGCGTGCAGCGTCCATTTTGCAGAAACGGATTCGGCATCGTTTGCTGTAGGCGCGCGCATATTTGATGTCCGAATCATGGACGAGGTTATAACGGGAATTGACGTCTACGAAGAAGCTGGGCCAGCGCGATTTACGTCCGTTGTTAGAACATTTACTGATCTTAAGGTTGGGGATGAGCTCTTCTTGGAATTCACCCCTGTCAAAGGGGATGCCTTTTTGTCGGCTCTCACATGCGAAAAGACTGCGGAGCATGGCTCTAACGATCCGATGGCGGTTAACATCTCTGGTTCGGAATCTCCGGAAGCTAGCCCGATGAATCTTGATGCGTCCCCAGCGCTCGAAGAACCGGCCACATTCGCGAGTCCAGGCGTGGACCCCAGTGTAATCGCTTCACCAATGGCAGAATCTCCGTTTGAAGACATGCCCCCCAGTCCTCTCGGGGAACTAGAGACTGCTGATCCGTCGCCCATCCCAACTGTGTCAGCATCGAACATCGTCACAGTCACACCCGACCCGGATCCCACTCCTGAAGATCCTGAGAGCATTCTGGAACCGTCGCCTATTGACCCTCTTAATGGGCCCGTGGAGGGCACTACAAATACGGCAACACCGGACAGTGAATTGACTGCTGGGGACGGACAGCGTTCGGAAAAATATAGACTGCTAGGCTCTATCTCAGACACAAGCAGTTTCACTCCCCAGATGAAAGAAGTGTTGATCGCCGAGAGTCAGACGTTTACCTCCAGCGATTCAGAATGGGCCATGATTCACTTGCAAGAAGAAACAATTGAAGCCGTAACCCGTCAAGAGAAACTGCAACTCGTAACTCGCCAAGGCGCACGTGTTTATCAGATTGATCTCCAAGCCCTTTATCCATCACCTGAATATGAGGATGAAGTCCAGCGATTTAAGGAATTTGTATCCGAAGGAAGGTTGACGTTAGCGTTGCAGAACAGAGGAATTAGCAATCTAGCAATAAGTTTCGAAGAAGAACCCCCAGGCCAGAATCCACCTAGTAATTCGCCCGAAGCTTCCACTACATCGACCTCCAAAGTTGTTGGCATAGTCGTGGGATGCGTTCTTGGTGTGCTTTTGGTTGTTGCAGTGGGTGTCTTCGTAATAGTGCGAAGGAGCCACGGAATCGATGCGAGCCAGAATGGATTCGATGCACCACCGCCTGCCATGACAGAATCTGAGATATCATCGGTGATGGAAAGATCGGAAACAGCCGCGTCAGTCGAATACTTGGACGATGATTCCACCTTCACTGCAGCCACAAGTCGGGCTGGCGATCATATAGATCAGGTTGCGTTTGACAAAGACGTTTTCGGTCGGGGAACAGCAACCGGGTCGCATGGTGTATCCTAATGCGCAAGCGAGAGATGTCCGGAAAGCTGTTTGACTATTGGGAACCTAAATCCCGCTTTTTTAACTGTAAAGGGAGAACTGCTCTCTCCTGTAGATGTGGAGAAGTGCTCCTTGGAAGCTCGCTCTCTACATGCATTAACGATATTCAGATGCTGCCCGCTTCTTCGCGAGTCTTTGACCTAGTCCCTTAGTCATTGATCCGGTGATTCTTCTCTGTACATTTCCTATTGTTATTCTCGAGAGACTAATCGATAATTTCATTCGATAAAGATTCCGAGACCGTGCCGTATGGTCCACCTTCGGCAATCCCGGATTGCTGAATGCTCGTTGCTCGACCTGTGCACCCCGGCGATAGTGTAAATTCTGATAGAGCCTCTACATGCCACTCTCTTCGCCAGTCAAGGATTCTCGCTTGATTACGAAGCACTGTAGGCCCACGCGGCTGAATAGGTGCGCCGGTGTTGAACCTGCTTAATTCTGAATTTGTCCGTGAAGATGTTGGAGAGGCAATTGGTGAGGGAATCTCAGCAACCCCATCGAGAAGATGATCTTGACCGCGGTCTTTTCTGCGGTAATGGACGAAAACAACTAGTGCAGCACAGACCAATACAAGGCCCGTCAAAGACGATGCAAGAATGATACCAAACCTCTTCTCGCGGTCATTAGCATCGTGGTCCGATGACCCAAACTCGTCTTTACTATCTTCGGGCGGACCCTCTGCAGGTGAAGTTGGCTCCTTTCCGCTTTCCGACAATTGCGGCCCCGTGCCATCTGCTATGTCGTTTGCAGGTTCAACATCGAAAAGAGGAACCCTCGCGAATTTGATAGAGAGGGTCTGGTCACCTATCCGGTTGCGAAGGAAAGCGTTCAGATCACCACTAGTGATGCCCTTCTCTAGCGTCGCAATTTGCTCCCCTGCATCCAGTCGAGGTAATTGAGCGTGATACGTAACCAGGAAGGCCGTAGATTGTTGCCTTTGCATGGAACCACTTTCAGGTTGTGAGAAGTCCACAAGCCTCCAATCTCGTGGTGACGACTCTGTCGTGTTTGATGCAAAAGAGCGAATTGAATTGTCCACATCCAAATCAAAAGACTTGTCAGCACTTGAGACAGAAAATGGAATCTCGACCCAAATTTCATCCTTCCTTTCCTCGGGTGACATTGATGGGATAGCGGGAGCTACGTCTTCCTCCAAGTATGGATAGGGATAGGGTGATGGTAATATACTCGGTGTAATTATTATGTTGGAACCGTCATCTCCGTCGCCTTGATCTTCAGACTCTGATTTGGGGGCGCCACCGAAGCCTATCACACTCGACGCCGGAAGGGGTGATGATGGAAGTAAGGGAGTAAGTTCGGCTATTGGGGCATCGGTTGTTATCGAGATAACAATATCAGACGCATTCTTCTCGCTCATCTGGCCTTTGCCTATAGCCGGAGAAACGATGCCAACTTCTATCCCATCATTTCGAGACTCTGGGCGATTAGATGAGTCACCAGCAGTGCTTCGTGGTGGGACCGTAATCACAATAGTACCATCACTTTCACTGATATCACCGGGAGGGCTTGGCTCCACAAAGAACTCCGGCATGGGCTCAGGCGACGCGCTGGCCTCATTGTTGCCAGGAAGAGGTTGCGCTCCCACATCAAACTCATCATTTTGCTCGAGGGCAGCGCTATTAGAAGGCCACCCATGAGAAGGCGCAAGGTCTGGCTCATCATCATTGACAGTGACGCTTTGAGATTGCAGACCCGAAGGCTGGCTTTGAAGATCCGATTCTGGCGAGGGTTCCTCACTTTGTTCTGGGTCTGGGTGGCTTACTTCCTCCCCATTGTCTAGAGCAGGCACACTGAGGGATGCATCGGGGTGGTCGGAAATATCTTGCGATACGTCTTGCTGGTTGAGAGGTAAAGTGTTGTCAATTCCTGTGATGAGGGGTCCCAGCACGCCGTTCGACTCGAAAACAGCTTGATTTGCTATTGCTGTGGTCGCAACAGTACCGGAACCTGCAGCTCCTATGGGCTGCAAGAAGATCAATGTGAAAAGCGAAAAGAGTGCAGTGGCTGGGAAAGCCGGTCGCATTCTAACTCTAGCGCGCCAGAACGAGAAGGGGCGGACGTGGTATCGTAGATGAGCGTTTAAACAATAGGCGGAAGGTTTGAATCCGCCTCATGTGGAAAGGGCTTGAAGCAAGGCTACGTTTCATGGCAAGGAGCTGTGAGAGGGACTCCATTGAAAGCGATAGGGATGGGGGTGTGAAGGCTGGCGTGCGGTCGGTGGGCACTCATCCTTTTGAAATCGGATAATGAAGGCAGAGCCCTTCCCCATGCGGTCGCCACAAGGAGGGAATCGGCCTTGGGCGGGGACATGGACATTTACGGGATGCATGCATGATCGGGGGTTCATGAGGAAGGGCCAATGTGGCTTGGGCAGGAAACCACAGAGACGGTGTGGTTGTTGGAGCTCAAGATTTCTGGGGCTGCATCGAGCGGAGCTGATTTCGGTTGCAGATTCTCATGCTTTCTCGCATTCGAATGGGCTTGGCTATGCCGTGACGTGATCGCTGTCACGGATCAGATATTCGACAACTTGACTTTGTACAAATTCATAATTTCGATGGGCTCAGTGTAAGCTTCTCGAATTGCGTAAGAGTGTGACGTGTCGAGCCGCTGTCATGTCATGACTGGTTTAGTACCTTCACCACTTTCTCTGCGACATGTGCGGTGGGACCAATGACAGTGAGCCGTGGGCCACCTCACTCAACCGCCCCCCACGCTTCTGCCTCCTCCATGTAAGCCGGAGAACTGAGAAATGTCATTACCTTTCGCAAGGATGAAAAGTGTTAGGATATTGCGCATGCACAGCTCCGCTTATCTTCGGGCTCTAGACTTTCTGTTGTCGAGTATGGCCTGCCCAATCATACCGCACATCACTTACTGAGAGAATATTAATTGACAACGGCTGGAACGTCTGCGATACTTCCCCGTTGCTGTCATCCGTGTTGGAGAGCGGTGGAGGGGGTTGCTACCTGCTGATCTCAGCAGTTCTCAAGAACTGCGTATCAACGAACGAAACGTGATAGGCAGAGGTTGACGAAGGCATGTGAAGCTGCCATTATGTTTACTTGTTGCCGTCTCTCCACGCCATTGGATAGGAAGGGCATCACAACACACGTCGCTCACTGCTCTGCAGAAACCTATGATGCCAGTAGCAAACATGAAACTGAAGGCGCTCTCCACATGCAGAAACATAACTCTTTCTATCGTCCAAGAATTCACAGAGATCAACGAAGAACGTTTTTGCCCAACGGGATTGTGGCTGATGTTTCCTGACCTATAGGAATGATTTTAAGCACTGTCGCACCCGATCAATTCTTGAGTTTTTTGACGCCGGGAAATCCGTCACTCCACATCGTAAGGGATAAGCCTGAATTTCAGGCTTGAGGTGATATCGTTCCCTTTAATTTCTAAATGGCGCGGCCGTGCACAGGAACTGGTAGCCTGGTGAAAACTTTTTGTCAGTGCCAGCCATAGAATTGAAAGTTACGCATACATTTCGGGAAGCCATCCTCAACTATGAACCAGGGTTGTGCGGGCATATGGAAGTACGGGCAGGGTTGCCCGCGGGTATCGGGGCATGCACAAGTACACTTGGCATGCCCTTGGTACCCATGCCCGTCGTATATTCTGTAGCTGTACTGCACGGTTGCATACATGCCCTTGCAATTTTTTAAACTAAAATGCCCGTTTAGTGCACCCATGCCACCATGCCCGCGCATGTTCCGCCAAGTGTACTTTAATGCTGCCCGCTGTATGCTTCTAATTTTTTAAGTGCGAAATGCACTGGTGCACCCATGCCGGTCTAAAATTATTTTTGCGAGATGACCGCACACATGCCCTACTTTTCGTCGGGGGTTTTCCCACATGCACAGATACCCGCCATTTTCAGTTGTGGCACCAAATCACTTCGGATCAAGGCAGTGATACACAACAAGAACGGCGAACCGATCTGGAAATAATCTTGAATCGCAGAACAGCGTTCAAGATAGCGTGGCCCACATTACCCCGTCCATTTTCACCCGCCTCAATCATGCTACCAGACGAAGAAGAACATCTAGACCGCCCGTCGGAATCTCATCCGTCAAAAACCATAACTCCTATGCTTCCTCCGAACTTGGTGCAAGTCCAAGCCCCTCAAGTACTTCCAGACGCGCCTGTGTCATCAGCAGAATCTTTCAATACGCTAGCCTCTCTAGTTATACAAGGTCCAGTTCAGGATGAGTCTCATGTGCTCCTAAACGGCAATTCTTCTACTACAGCTACCGAACCGACCCGAACGGTGAACCTTAACGCCAGAAAAAACTTGCAAAATACATCATCACCAAGTGCACAAAACCAATCAACTGCTTCCGATGAGATAATTTTTGATTTCAATGATGCTTTGAAGCGATGTAAGCGGTATGCTTTGCAAAACAAGAAAGCAGCAGTATGGGGGGTTTTCGTGGAATTAGACAAGCATCTTTACTCTTGCATCATTTGCAAGCCCTGTACCAGTTCTATGGATGTGCGAGACAAGAGGGAGAAGAAGGAACTGATATCGTACAAAAGCAAAATTGGAACCAGTTCGTTAAGAAGACATGTACTTGGGCATCATACAGCCGAACATTCTGTTCCGGAAAAGCGTCTACTCGAATTCCAGGAAGGAGGATCACGTCGCAAGAAAAGAAGGACATCAAAAATGGATGGAAGTATCCTTAACACGTACCAGCAATATGCCAAAGCGTCCGAGAATCAAAAGCATCATGATCGAAAAGTCATATTGCTCATTGCAAAGTCATGTTTACCTCTTTCACTCGTCGAAAATGACTATTTCAAAAGCTACGTGCATAAGTTGAATCCAAGAGTTCGAATACCAGACCGACGCAGGTTGACAGACCAGTTGATTCCAGAATTTATCGAGTACTGAGAAGAGACGTTTGTAACCCAAAACTGGATTCTATGAAAACCTTGTCGATTACTTTCGACTTGTGGATGAGTCGGGGTTGTGAGGACATTTTTGATCTGGTGGTTCATGGCATGGATGACACTTTCCAGCAGCATCAAGGTCACTTACGGATGGTTGAGTGCAGTTCTATAACTGGGGTATATTTGGCATCAGTTCTGAAGACCGAGTTGAAGAAACATAATCTCATGAACCGTGTTGTAGCTTGCGTGAAGGACGGTGGGTCAAATTTACGATCCTGCACAACTATTCTGCAGGGCTTAGTGCGTTGTGACTTCTTGGATCTCGATACCTGCTTTGAAGATCCTTGCTTTGCCTATGTGTTAAGTAATGCCTGCAATGCAGCTTTGCACAATTCCGTCGACGACGGACTGGCTCTCATTGACGCAAAAAAGGCGAGAGCTTCTTTGCAGAAATGCATTACGTGGACCAAGAAGAGTGCGAAAGGCAGAGACGCTTGGTTTGCTTCCTGCCGTGCAAAGGGAAGGAAAGAGAGAGTGATGCCAACTCCAGTCAAGACACGATTCGTCACGTCTGTAGTGATGATGAGTATGTTGCTGCTGTATCGGGATGCCGTAGAGCACTGCTATTCTAACCAAGAGAAGTTGGATTTAAGGCAGCGTGTCCCTTCTACCGAAATATGGGAAATTATAAGGGTCATGGTCGACACGCTTGGACCAATAATGAAGACTTGCGTTCTCAGTCACACCCGTAACGGATGTTTTATTAGCGATGCAGTCGCCAAATTCGCAAATCTGTACATTTTCTACTCACAAATTGAGCCGACGACAAGTGTACTAGCAAAACGAGACTCTGCTCAGAGAGATTCTACTTTTGAGGATCAACTTTTGAAATACAAGAAGAGATTGGCGTTGTGTATTAAGGAGAGCTTGGAGAAAATAGTGCGTCCTCTTATTTCTTTTCAAGGAATTCGAGAAAAGTACGTTCATCATTTTGTGGCTTTGGTTGTTGACCCAGAATTCAAATCTTTAAGAAGTCCATTCATGAGACTTCATGTCGGAAACGCGTCTGCGGGAAGGGCTTTGGCTAGGCTGTATGACCAGGAGGTCGTGATTCCCCTTCTGGGATCAATTTACGAAGTGCTGAATACAACCCGAGCCGATGAGGTCAAGATAGAGGATGACCAAAACATACAAACAGATGCTTCAGAGCCGATCTTTCTTTCCAAAGACGGTTTATCTTGTGTTAGAGATACATCTGAAAGATCTCCTTCCGTAGTCCCGAATGATGCTGTGCAAGATACAGAGGAGTACGCAGACGTGGAAGATTGTTTTGTTGTTGAACCCCCCGAGACAGAACATCACAAGGTTTAGAAATCTATGGAACACGAACTGAAGTCGTTCAGGTGCGATGTCTTCAATAAGAAAACGGAAACAAAGTTGATATGGCTTGCGTCACGCCGTACGAAGTACCCACATGTCGTCGCCCTTGCACAGCAAATTCTTTCAATTCCAGCCACCCAAATCGAGAACGAAAGAGTTTTCAGTCTGGCTGGCAGAATTGCATCCCCCAGTCGAAACAGAATCTCGACTGAAAACATAGATAATCTTGTATCTATAGTCCGAAACTATCCTCACAACCATGCGGAGCGCTCAGATGAAGTCCACTCTTTCGAAGAGTTTAGTGATTTTCTGGTTGTCAAGGAGGAAAAGGACGATCTTGACTTAGCTGTAGATGAATCCAAGGCAGATGTTGAGGACTATTCGTGTACTACTTCTAGAAGTATCTAGCTAGATATGCCACTTTGCCTAATTGCGATTGAGTTCCTGTGCGTGAAATGCATGAGTGAAAAAATAAATGAATCTGAGCCAAAAAGCATTTTGAAGCCACCCGCGCGATCCGGTTTTCAACCTTCCCCTTGCTGTCTATTGAACATTATCTGTTAGAAAAATGAGTGACGCCTGAATTCAGACTCTCATCCATGCTCAAGCCACGAAGATGTTCGGCGGATGCCTAGAAAACAACTACAAGTGAAACTTGAGTGGGTCATAAAATAAGAATCAGACTCCAAAGGACAGCTTCTTTCTCGCACGGACTCCCCGAAGGGATTTTAGCGAAAATGCTGTGGCCGGAATTGAACCCGCGACCTCGGAGCGATAAATTTCTCTCGTCCCACTGGGCTGCGAGGTCTTGTGAAACATATCGATTTTTTTGTTAATTTATATTACATACCCACGCGGGCATGGTCACTGTAGCCCGATTTCAGACAAACCGCTCCCCGACCTCCAAGAAGAGACCACGCGCACTTCCGTAACCGCCCTTCATCCTACACCCGCTGTGCCCACACCAGCACTCTCCCGAACCGACCTCCCTCCGACTCCAGACATCACCGAAGGCCAAGTACTACTTGCTGCTCGATCTCTCAATCCCACGTCCGCAGCCGGGCCAGATCGCCTCTCGCTCCGCCTGCTGCAGCTGCTCGCTCGCACGACCGTCACTCCCGAGGCCGGAGTTACCGGTCTTTCGGCCCTCACCCGCCTGGTGCGGCGACTCGCCCGAGGCGATATCCCGGATAGCACAGCCTCCCTCCTGGCTGCGTCAACCCTGATCCCCCTCCAGCCGCGCCCCGGGAAGCTCCGCCCCATTGCCGTGGGGCAGGCACTTCGCCGCCTCGTAACAAAGGTCCTTCCCCCCCGCCGCAATTGATGATACCGGCGATCGCCTGGCCCCGGAACAGCTCGCCAATGGCGTCCCATCGGGAATGGACGCCATTGTCCATGATTGTTGTATGCTCCTGGCGCGACACGGTCGCAACCCCAACTACGTGCTCGTCTCTGTTGACGCACAAAACGCGTTCAACAGCTTTAGCCGTCAGTCTATGCTCAACCGTCTCACTCTGGAAACACCTAGCCTTGCCCTCTTCCTCAACCTCATCTATGGCCGCACTGTTCCCGACCTCGTGCTACCGTCTTCCCCACGGGTCATTCTTAAAAGTTGTGAAGGAACCCAACAGGGCGACCCTGCTGGAATGCTCCTTTTCTCCATAGCGCTCCACCGCATCACCCGCGAATGCAGCCTCCTGCTCAACCGCTGCTACGCCGATGACGGTACACTAATTGGTACTATCCCGGCGGTTACAAAAGCACTCCGCATACTTCACACATTTGGCCCCAGCATGGGATTCCCCATGAACATTTCTAAATGTCGCGCTTTCTGGCCCACAACTGAGCCGTCACTTCTCGAATCCCTCACCATGTCGTTCCCCTTACACATCTCACAAGAAGGCGGAATTGCTCTTCTGTGCGCCCCGTTAGGCACAGATGAATTCATGAGGTCATTCTTGGAGGAAAAAATTGAGGCAGTGTCAAACTCCCTCACATTGCTCGACAGCATTCCCGATGCCCGTATACGTTTCCATTTGCATCGAGTATCAGGATCCGTGTGCCGCGTCGAGCATGTGTTCCGCCTCACACCACCTCGCATTTCGCTCCCAAGCGCAATTCGGTTTGATCAAAGTCAAAAATCCGCCTACTCCCGGTTCAATCATGTCACGCTTTCTCCGTCCATATCTTCCCAGATTGGCCTCCCCTTCCGTTTGGGTGGTCATGGTTTCACGCCACTGGCCCCGTTTGTGCACGCATCTCACGCTGCAAGTTTAATTGAATCCGCAAAAGCACGCATTCGCGGACCTTCGAACCCTACAGTGCCATTCTACCGCGGAATGGCACGGAAGCATCTAGTGCATGTACTGCGCTCCTTGAACCCCGGGGTCGAAACTCGAGGGATCCTCGCCACGCATTCTAATCTGGGCCCCTTCGAACCGCAAGCTTTATTGGAACGACCTGAAAGAGTACATTTTAAACTATATCAGGCGCTCCATGGAGCCTTTTCGCGCATGTATTGAGAAACGAGAGAGTGGGATCGACAGCCTAACCCAACCGATCATACGGCAGCCTCTGTACGCCGTCGCGCCAGCTAAAACTCTCTAATTACTCCTGGTGCGGCCTCCGTCCTCTGCGCTCACCCATCTCTGACCTCGCGAGTTTCAAGTGCCGTGTGGTCCGTTATGCTTCGGCGACACCTCGACACGCCTGTGTGCGACGATTCACGGGCCCCCCTACAATGCTCTCACTGTGGCCGCGCGATGGACAAACGTGGCGACCACGCCGCCAACTGCAAACACGGGTATGGTGCCACCCACCGCCATAACATTGTCCGCAATACTCTGGCCCGCCAAGCGTTTCGGGCAGCCGGCCTCACATGCGACCGCGAAGTTCCATTTCTCATACCAGGCACGGCGCACCGCCCTGCTCACATTCTTGTCCAACCGTCCCCTCCAGCGGCTGGCGCCCTCCCAGACCGCCCTACAGCATACGATTTCACGATTTGTAATCCCTACTCCGCTGCTAACATGAACTCAGCTGCTCGGTCTATTGCCGGCGCCGCTGAAGGAGCCCATACAAGAAAACTCCGCACCCATAACCGCATTCTACGCGCTGCCTTACACCTTCAGGCTGACGACCCACTTCCTCCCCTAGACTGGCATTTCGTCCCCCTTGCCTTCGATACCCTGGGCGCTTGGAGCACCCGTACTACTGCTGTCCTTGAACACGTTGCGCACCAAATTGCCCTTCGCTCAGGCTGCAGCTTTGGCATCGCCAAAACCCGCCTCGCCCAGCGTCTCAGCTTTGCGATTTGGTCCAGTGTCGCCGCGGCGACAATTGCCCGCATGCCATGTCATGGGTCGGCTCCATCCTATCCTCCGCTAGTGTGATTCCTTGACGTCCGCCGGCATGCCACTGTATCGGCCCCCCCTTGCATTTGAATAAAATTACCTACCCGATTTTTGAATGTACCCTGTGCATGCCCCGATGCCCGCTCGTGTTTTAAAAACATTTTCGATACCCTGCTTGTAACTCGCCCCTTTACAGCTACGTTGGCCGATGTATCATACCCTGTTTGATAGAATATGTATTTTTTGCATGCAGGCGCCCTCTACCGATGCCCTGTTTCTGTCGTCCCGCTAGTACAGTGTGAATGCCCGGTGTGTCGGCACTGTGCATATCCGCGCATTGCACTAGGTCATGCCCTTATCCGCAGCCAATCTTTTGAATGTAAACCAGAAGTACAGCACCAATGCGCGTATGCCCGCTATTTATTGCTATGGCTCTGTAATGCACCTATGACCGCCGCCCGTGTTACAGTTGGCGCGCTCTATACCCGTACCCGCGAGGGCATGCTCCAAGCCACATGCCCGCACAACCCTGCTATGAACCCTGGTCATCTGATATTACCCAAGGGTAACCCCCTTACGCGTGTTGTACAAACTTCGACTACTTACACGAGACTCGTTCCAGCCGTGATAGCCTGTGAAACGGATATTGAGACCCCGAGCTCTGAGATACGTTAATCTTTAAGATCTGTGAGATGCTGGAGTGACTGCAGTTCCTCATCATGACACCAGAAGACTTGAGCCGATATGCCTCCTTGATTACAATTCTTTCATCTCTCAGAGCAGCGCAAACACTGTCACGAATCATTACTGAGGCTTCGACTTCAAATTGAGCTCGCGGCCCGCGTTTCGTCGGATCCCTCTCCAAAAATGCAAGATTGACGAAGCTGACACATATTCTGACCCTTGAACAGCATACTCGAGGGGATGGCGAACTTGTCTTACTCTATCCGATTTCCCTAGGGCCAAAATATGGCCATGTTGGGCAGGGCAGCGTGAGAACAGAACGCTGCGGTTTGAAAATCGTTGCGTGAACTGAATATTCCACGTTGTATGCACCGTCTTAAAATGCGACGGGAAAGCCTTGAGACTTGTCAGTCTGAAGGGGGGGACACCTCGACGTTTTACTAGGCGAACGGTTGGTGTGGTTAACATGAGATTAAAATGAAGATTGACTTTGTGACGTATGTACTGTGGTGGAAGAAAAATGATAACTCACTAATAGAGAGTTTACGAACACAAAATTCCGTTCCGCATGACAACAAAATATAACTCACAGACACTGTCGTTTTTTGGACGGAAAACCTATATAAGCCTGCTGTTAGGATGATTCACTACCGATCAATAAATGAGTATTACCTTCCAAAGCTTTTTGCCCCATGAATGTTGTCTGGTTAACACAGCCAGAAACATGCGTCAGAAAGACTACGCAGTTGGTAAAGCAAAGCAGCGACTGCGATTTCGTCGCAAGAACGTCGTGCTTGCCCTCGCGAGCGATGCCGATGAACTCTTGCTAAATCACTGCAGTCGCCGATCAAGCAGTGCTCAAAAAGACTTACAACGCATCCGAAGTATTTAGCGGCAAGCGACCCCTCCATATGCACCGTATGAGGGGTGTCTCTTGACGGTTGTTTTTTCCTATTTCGCAAAGTCAAGCGACAAGTAAAAATGAAAAGGCTGTTCTCCCATTTTGCATCTTACACAGGACAGTTGCGACAGCCCTAATATGTTTTTTTTTTTGAGCTCACGAGAATGTGACGAGAAGTTGCAACGAAAACACTGGGACGAATTGGGAAATCTTCCAACAGCATTAAACTTACCCAACTTCAACGCCAACGCCTCGCGATAGCAGCAGAACATTCCCCATACGGAGTGAGTCGAGCGGTGCAGTTGCACATCAGGACAGCGGTCCGCTAGTTATGGCGAATCCTTTGAGGCGGGGACAACAGTCTCGGCAGCATCAGTCAAGTCGCCAATTGAAAATTGTGCGGACCCTCTCTCCTTTGCGCGTGGCTGCGATACCGCAGGAGCCCAGCCGTTCATGTGGACAACTTCGAACGTTGCTGGCACGCACTTGCGACCCTGCTCGTCAGTGAACCCATATCGCTCCTCATAAATCCTGCTGGCTCGTTCAAAAACTTTGCGCCCGCAGTGTATCTCACGAGTCGTGAGCGCGTTTGTCTCGCCCATTCCTTTTAGATGGCGCATCAAGGCAAACATATCTGTGAACGGCACGATGATCCTGTCAACATCGGCAGTGGTGAGCGCCAGACCTGCGCCCGACACGAGACCAGCCGCGTCTCGCAGACGCACCATAGGGGAGATACGCGGCGCTAAACGGCCGCGCATCTCGTCTTCGGCGAGTTGTAACGAGATACGAAGCTCTTGTAAGGTATCGCCGCCAAACATAGCAGCGAGAAAGAGGCCATCCGGTTTGAGCAGCCGGGCTGCGCGACGTAGGAGAAGGGGCAGGTCGTTGACCCAGTGCAAAGCCCCTGAAGAGATGACGAGATCCAGAGTGCCGTCCTCGATGGGGATGGGGGCTTGCTCATTGTCGAGGACGAACTGCCGGTCCGGGCCTGCAAGGTTGCCGTCGTAGAAGGTTTGAGCTCTTGATAGAATTGATGGATGCAAATCGCAGTGGGTGAGGGATTCAATGCGGGACGGGTTGCTCACAGCCTGCACTGCGCGGAGGATGTGCGCTGAACCGCAGAAGATGTCGACGGCATGAGGCAGAGGGTGTGTGATGTCTTGGAGGCGATCGACGACGCGGGTAGCGACCTCATCGCGAAGATAATCAAAGTCATTGGCTTTGGGGGACTGCGCGGCCTTTACTTTTTGTTGGGTCTTCGTACGCCAGTCGAAAAGCTTTTGTTGCCGTGCCGAGTGGGTGAGCCCACGGAGAGCGAAAGTGCCGAGACGGTGTGCCTGCATTGCTTGGCGGCGAGAGGCGATGATGAAGCTTCAGGGGCATACGTATAAATAAATTTCGAATGGTTTTTCAGAAAGTTTTTCGGGCGACGTGAAAGCCACTGTCGCGTCTTCGCACACATGGCGCTTTCCCAAGAGAACAGAGAAGACTGCATTATGAAGGGGATATGTAACAGGCGAAATAGACAGGCAAGATAACGGAGAAAAGTTATACACATTTACAAAAGTAGGCTCTTCACTTTCGACGATGAAACGAGCAGAGCGCTGCTACACCCTAGGCCCTCTCCCCCCGAATGCGCCTAGCCAATTGAATATCCTTAGGCATGATAGTCACACGCTTCGCGTGGATAGCGCACAGATTGGTGTCCTCAAACAGTCCGACTAGATAGGCTTCGGAGGCCTCCTGGAGTGCGAGGACGGCGGAGCTCTGAAAGCGCAGGTCGGACTTGAAATCTTGGGCGATCTCGCGAACGAGGCGCTGGAAGGGGAGCTTGCGGATAAGGAGCTCGGTAGACTTCTGGAACTTGCGAATTTCACGAAGGGCGACGGTTCCAGGGCGATAGCGATGCGGCTTCTTGACACCTCCAGAGGCAGGGGCAGACTTACGAGCGGCCTTGGTGGCCAGCTGCTTGCGAGGGGCCTTGCCACCGGTGGACTTACGCGCGGTTTGCTTAGTACGGGCCATTGCGAGAATGGGTGTGTGAGAGTGAGAGTGGTGGAGAAAGAGGCTGAAGAGTTTGAGGGTTGGAAGGTTGGGGCGGTTGTGTGAGCTGAGGAGGGCAAGGCATGGCGGTTTAAGTATGGCGGGAGTGAGTTGGGATAGAATTGGGGCTGTAACGATGAGAGGGTCAAGCCGGCAGAAGTTGAAGAGAGATAAGTTAAGAAGTGGAATAGGAAATGTCAGGAAGGCGAGTTCCCCCTGTTCGCGATTTCAGCCAATGGGAACGATCAACGAGCAAGGAGGACAAGCAGAGTGACCAATGGGATAGTGGAGAAGGCGCGCGCCAAAATTTCGAATCTCAAAAAAGCCCGCGTTTTACGCGGCAGTGCCTTCCGCACGTGTTGGCGGCAAAGGCCTGACAAGCCAAATGAGCAAAACATTGAGTCCTTCCGTGCTTCCCAATCCTATATAAACCCCCGAGCGACACAACTCCGTCTCCTCATTCCCCTCCTCACCGCTTCAGTCCTTCTCTCACCTCACTCTCATCAACCTTTTCGGAGTTCCCCAGTTTAAAACCTTTATCAATCATGTCTGGCCGCGGCAAAGGAGGCAAGGGTCTTGGAAAGGGTGGCGCCAAGCGTCATCGCAAGGTCTTGCGCGATAACATCCAGGGCATCACTAAGCCAGCTATCCGTCGTCTGGCTCGCAGAGGTGGTGTCAAGCGTATCTCCGGTCTCATCTACGAAGAGACCCGCAACGTTCTCAAGGTCTTCCTGGAATCCGTCATTCGCGACTCTGTCACATACACTGAGCATGCCCGCCGTAAGACGGTCGTGTCTATGGACGTCGTCTACGCCCTCAAGAGACAGGGACGTACGCTCTATGGTTTCGGCAACTAAATGGAAGCACGATGATTGCTTTCTCCCTCGTCGAGTCGCACACCACGTCTTGATTGAGAATTGACACTGCCCACAAAAGGGCTCAAAACAAATGGTGGTTTATTACCACCATGACTGAATGATACTTGTCTGGCCACAACCAAATAGTCTGTTGAATAGTTACTGTTTTTACCTCTTCAATAGGCGGATATTTCAGATTTAACCCCGTCACTCGTCCTTTCAGACGTCAACCGCTGGCCGTCGTCCGTGGTCGCCATCCGCGACGAATAGTCATACCTAGCAAGTTCCTCACGTTATCAAATTTCACCAAAATACCCTTCCCGTATACAAGGTCAGTTATCTCTGCCGAAATTTCGAAGGCATTTGGTCTTGTAGGATATTGAAAAGCTTTTGGTAAAGTCGTCTTCACGCCTGGGAAGCGATCTCTAGTCACAGCTTTGGCGATGCAGCAACCTCGCAGACCTTCGATTCCTGCAAACTTATCCGAACCGGATTCCTTTGTCCCACCGAACGGCATACTCTGGCACAAATAGTTCGTAGCAAAATCATTCACATTCCCCATTCCCACCCGAATGGCACTTAGGATAGTGTCGGCACGACCACTGTCTTCAGAGTAGACAGAAGAACCCAACCCGAACGGGCAAGAGTTGACCATCTTCACCAACACGTTATCATTGCTCCATGCGATCAAGGACACGACCGGGCCAAATACCTCCTCTTTCGCAATGCGCATCCTCGGCGTTACTCCCTTTAGTACCGTCGCCTCAAAGAAAGATCCCTTCCCATTGACCTTCGCTGCCTTGCCCCCCACCAACAACTCCGCGCCCTGCTTGACAGCATCATCCACAAGGTCCTTTACATGTGCCAGCGCACTCTCCCCCATTGTCATCGCACCCATATCTACCCCCAGTCGGATAGCCTTCGCGCCCGCCACTACATGACCCGCAAATTCGTCCATTACCACCTCATGCACAAAAACCCTTTCAACCGCGATGCAATTCTGCCCAGCGTTCTGAAACACGCCACGCAAGCAAATAGTGGCTGCGTGTTTGACATTGGCGTCATCACACACGATGAAGGGATCCTTGCCACCGAGCTCAAGCACGACAGGAAGCAGCCTCTTTGCTGCTGCTAGCGCAACCTTACGCCCAATGATTGTACTACCCGTGAAGAACAGTTTGTCAATATCAGCGTTAACCAGCGCTTGACCGACGACGCCATCGCCAACGACAAGCTGCATGAGCTCTGGCGAATGCCCGCATAACGCAAGCGCTCTGCGGACGAGGCGGGCAAAGTAGAGCGAGGACCAGCTGGTGTGCTCGGAAGGCTTGACCACGACTGCGTTACCCGCGAACAGCGAGGCGATAACAGGGTTCATAAGGTTATGCAGCGGATAATTCCACGGCGCGATCGCGGCGATAACGCCCAGCGGCATATACTCTACAGTGGCCTTCTTGTGAATGGTCATCGGACCCACTGTGCGGCGATCGGGAACGAGAGCGTTTTCGCCTTCGGCGATGACCCAGCGCAGCTTTTCCATGGTGGGGATGATCTCGCCGAGGGAGGCGTCGAGCAAGGTTTTGCCACTGTCTCTTCGGCTGATTTCACAAAGGCGCTTCTGCTCATGGAGGATGTGGTTGAGCAGGACGCGCATGACAGATCGGCGTTGGGCGAAAGTGGTGGCGGCCCAGATGGGCTGGACTTCCCGGGCACGAGACACGGCTTCATCGACAGCTTCTGTGGAGTGGACGGGGACATAGCCCAGGGTCTCGCCGGTGGAGGGGTTTACGGCATGGAGAGTTTGGTCGGATGATTCTGCGACGAGCTGCGGACAGACGTCTGGGTCGCTGAAGGAATTGCTTTGCTCGTCGGCGTAGGGGTCGTACGAAGGTGAAGGAAGGGGGAATTCGACAAGGATTGGATCGACACCGACGTAAAGGTGGGCGAGGAACGTGAAAAGGAGAAAGAGGGAGACGGCGACGAGGAAGGAGAAGAAGATGGCGAGGGGAATGAATAGATGATCGCCTAAGGTTGTATACCATAGGTTAAATCGAGTGGAGAAGGAGTTGAGGTTGGAGGAGAATGGAGCGGAAGAGAGATAAAGGCTGAGGCCGTGGAGGTTGGTTGCGGAGGCCGTTAGTAAGATTGCGAGGTTGCTTTCGAGACTGGAAAGGAAGGAGGACAGACTCTTGGTGAGTCCGGGAAGGAAGGGTTCGCAAGCGTTGCAGACTTTATCCATTGAGAGAAGTGGGGTTGGAACGGACGTCATGCGAAGTTTGCCTCAAACAGTTTAAGTTTCAGGCTGCGGGTGCAATTCACTTCACAGCGATGAGCTTCAATGCTATCGGCATCAGCTTCCAGTGCCACTGGGGAGTTGGTTGCGCAAGTTGAAGAATTGAGGGCCGTGCCTAACGAAGAGTTCGCCGTGCCAGCACCCGAGCACCCTGAAACTTGGCATGAATGGATTGGTTGAACGGGAGTAAAAGCATTTCCAATAATTTTTTCAACCAATGAGTAATGAGTGATGAGTAAAAGCATTTCGTTAGGAACGGCCCTGAGGGCCGTTCCTAACGAAGAGTTCCCGGTGATGTCAAGCTCAACTGTACACATGTACACGTTTCAATCCACGTGTCCAGATTGAACACTGGACACCGTGGCCACGACGGAAGCGAACTACGTACACGTGTGCATATTGATTCGTGTATGATGTACACACGTGTATAGTCCGCTGGTACAGTATAAGCAAGAGGCATACAGCTCAAGGCCGCACGTGCGATGAACTCTTGAGATCAATGTTTGCCAGAAGATGCAAGTTGTTCGGTGCAGCAAGGATGAAATGGGGATCGTGGAGAGCCTGATGCAAACCGTTAAAGTTCAGAGAGGGTGATGGGCTTGGCTTACTCATAGCAGGAAAGGAAAATGAAGCAAGGTGTAAGGCATAAGCAATTCGTCTTGTGCTATGTCCGTCTCCAAGCCACAGTACCTGGCTTCACATGCTCGCAGACTGCCCACCAGTGTTGGCAGTTTGGTTCCCCTTGAGGGAGAAGTCCCGTGACTGCGAAGGGCAGCTGCTGCGACGCCACCTGGTTCTTTTTGTACAAATACTGTTGCGTACTGTATGTAATTTAATGGCGCCATAGCCTTGTCCGGGAGCTCACGGGAAAAAGCTAGACCTAAACCGTTCTCTCGCAATCTCTTCCCTTCGTAATAACCACCAATTCACATGGCCCTTATCCTCCAGTTTTTCTTATCCTCATCCATGACCCGAAAACAAGTTGCCGCTCCCAGTGCGAACACGTTTCAACCTTGTTGCATAATGCATCCAATCGCCACTGAAATGGTACTATCCTCACACTCGCTCCTGCAATATCTGAATGGGGAGCCGTCGTCGACGCACTCCTCTTCACATGCATCCGCATCCCGAGCGCTGTTTCAGACACGTCGCTCTTTTAAAGGAAGAGCGTCTACGGTATCTTCCTAATAAACTAATCTGTAACTCAACCCTCATCTTCACCCTCCACTCGCACATGTCACGCCCTCTATCTTTTATCTCGTAGTTACCGACAAACTCTACATATTGATACCCCTACCATCTGCGCACATAGCAGAAATATTATTTCAAGCATGGAGCTGTCTGCTAAGTCTTCCATCTCACCTGCATCTGTTCCACCGACTGCGCTGCCACACGTCGCGTGGCCACACACGTTATGTGACTCTGGCCGCTTCTCTCCGCAGCGCCAATCACGGCTCATGAGATTCACGGAACCTGTCCAGACCCTATTGCCCTTGCTCGCTTGCCATGGCGCCACATACAACCGTCGCTTTCGTGACAAGCACCAAATGAGACCAGTGCCGCTCACTCCTCATGCAAGCTGCACCGTGTGTCCAGCTCCCGTCCGTGGTCCCCCTCCCCTCGTCCTCCTCCTCCTGGACCTCATAACTATGACACTTCTGAGGCTGTATCCTTCCTTTTTTCGAGGGTGGTGCACATACAGACTGCCACTTTCCTCCCTACATGAACTGACGCCTGACGTTTCGGCCTTTCGAGAACGGACCGGTTACCTCAGAAAATGGGTTGCAAGTAGTGTGCCTGACAATATTGGAAAATACATGGAATGTATCGACCATGTCACCACTCACTGAGGGACCAATCCACCCACTTCGTTAGTGTTGCACCGTACCTCCTATTTTTGAAAGCTGAGACTGGTATTTGTTTACCCTTCTATGTGTCAATTAATCGTGAGTTACTGCCTCCCTCGCTGTTTGCTATGTGCGGACCTCCTCGGACCCTATCTTGAGAAGCGCACGAGAAGCGCAGCGTAACTTTACGCTTCGAAGGGTGCTTTCTATTCCTGATTGTACCGCCTTCCTCCGTACCATTCGCCAAGTTGCTCGTGCAAATAAAAAAGACCTAGAAGTGTCTGCAGCATTAGGAGCACACACATGTTGCTACTGAAACCCCTCTCATGATTGATGGAAATGCATCCTAAACTGTATTCTCTTAAATGTAGACGTCAATCTTCGGGAAGACAAAACGCCATAGGATGCTATTATTACCTTTGTCCTTATTCTGGTCCTGCAGGAAGGATCGAATGCAATCCAAGTCTGCACATAGGGCAATTGATATGCTTTTTTTCGATATAGAGTACAACAGCATAGATGTGCCGTGCATAGAGTTGGTCTACAAAGCATTTATTGAAAGACAGCAGGTGAGGCCACGAAATCGAGAATTCAATATCTGGCGGGCCGCAGATGATTTACCTTCGGATTGCACTGCTTCGCCTCCACAGATTCTATTCGAATTGTAAGCCCCGGATCTCTCGTTCAATACTTGAGTCCTTGACGTCTATCAATGTTATCTTGCCTTTTACTTTTTCAGCGTGATAGTCCTCTCTTAGTCTCACTAACATTTGCACTGCCGTCACATCGACCTCGAGCCATACTATCTGATCATAAATTATTGGGCCGCATAGTGCGTCGATCCATTTTTAAATCACAGCAAAAAATAGAACAAACGCAAAACGATACTGCACTGGATACCTTCTGTCTGGCTTTTTTCGACTAATAGACCGTAGTCCCTGATCGCAGAAAAAGCGACCGTGCGGTCACAGGATTCATAATCCAGAAATAGAACATCAGGCATGTGCCCAGATAACATATCTGCGTCCGAATGCAAAGAACTCACTCGACCTGTCCTGTTTGACGAAAACAAAAAATGCTAAACCAAAATATTCTTTGAACTGTGCAGAAGGAATAAATTGCTGACATAACACGTCCCCGAATGTTTGAGGAAACCTTTAAAAGAGGTGGCAAACATGCGGTGACAGTGCATGTGTGGTTCCGAGTCGTGCGTCCCGTTAGGCACGGAAATGGTCGAAAGGAATATAGGCCGAGAATGCGGTATGCACATGTTGCAGCAAGAACCTAGAAACAGTGCAGTTCGCATCTTAGATCTGCACACCAGAGCCGCGCGAACCGTAGAAAGGCAGACTGAAAAAGCTCAATAATTATTTGAGCCCAACCCCAATCTCATGCATGAGTCTCACAGTCTCGAGCAGTCTCATATGTGTTGAAAAGATACGTGTGTGGTGTAATGGTTTCTTCAAGGGTCTATGGGCGTGCATGAGACATTAAAGCATATTATACAATACCATATGCTCGAGTTCATGAAGAAAATGCAGTGTCAGTTTAGTTTTCGACTCAAGTCCTTCCTAACACTGCCTAAAAATTATACCCACCCAGAGCCACAGATGAAATTACACTGAAGTGACGCGTCCATTGCAGAGACTGCACTACGCCCTGTCGTCGTAGATACAAGAAATCTCGATGCAGGCATATACTCCGTCAAGTCAGTCTTCAATCGGGATCAAATGAGCAAGAGTCATTGGTTCTATGTGCTAAGGTTCTTGTCCACATTAACTCCAAAACCGCCTGGTACCAGCAATCAATAGAGTAACTGCATAGGGTGCCTCGAATATAGCAGTTGCTCGAACTCATGTGGGGTCTGGGAAATGTCGGTAGAAAGGTGAATCAAATCTGCAACTAAAACATCAATGCAGATGAAAGGAAAAGTTTTGCATCAAATCTGCAACTGCGAGTCAAATTTCAAACAGGCAACATCCCTCCTTTTCGCTAGAAATACCTAACATTTACAGTTGACCCACGATAAACACTATAAGATAGAAAAATTGCGCCCTTGATAGTGAAAAACACTTCTCGCTGCTGCTCCCCATTTCCTGTACGCCTTCCCTTTTTTTGTAAGCAGCTCCATTTCAAAAATGAGTCCCTCCGCGTTGTTCAGGTTTTCTGCGGTGTGCAAGGTTAATAAAGTGAACAGGGTGACTTACTATTTTTGAGTCGTTTTTGCACAGCAGTTCTTAAGTTGGAGACACTTGGAGTTGCAGGTTTGGTGGCTCTCAGGGTTAGTAAATAGTTGTGCCTGCCTCATTTTCCTTCCCCGTTCGAACTCCGCGTCTTTTATAGAAATCGTAGGTGAAACTTAGAACAATAAAGTGCATGCTAGACTACAATAAACTATCCATTCAGTCTATAACTAAGCTCTATATAATCGTTTGTGTCTTTTTTCAATATCCCCAACCATACTCTTCAATATTACTAGATCCTCTACTCTTCATTTAACAAGTCTTTCAGGTATGGCATACAAATTCCAGTGAAGATCTACGCCATCCTTTTAGAGAATGGAAGAGTGATTCCATCGTGAAGGACATTCACATTATGACTATACAAAGTATAATTAGAAAGACAGACGTACTGTGCTGGCCTTTCAACCATTACAACTCCCTTCAACCCTTCCACGGGCCCTCTGTGACTAAACCTGAAGGAAGCATTCAGTATATGTTTCATAGGCAAAACAGCTGCAATGGCGAAGGAACGAAAGAATTGCAAGTATACGTCTCTGCTCTTCGGAATGATGCACCCTTTCTTGGCTCAAAGCGTTGCCTTTAGCTATTCTAGACTTCTAATGACCTCATGACAGAAATTTTATATGTCCTCAACGTCTTCTCGTGGGGTTTAAAATATGTTTTGGCAACCTATGCTATTAATATTCCGATCATGTTTTCAACCACTTTCTGGTAATTAGTCATTCCCATGTCCTACTGAAGCTCTAAGCAACACCATACTGTTCGACTTGGTTTGTTTTGATCATTTATTTTTATTAAACCTATCTTTCCCGGCTTAACCGGTTCGCAACCCCGCGAAGCTTTGCGATATGAGCTC